TCCACCAGCCCTGCTCAATTAAAGAGCTGCCGTGGTTCCCCTAATGAAGCGCTGTGGTGACCTCTGCCAGCTGGGCTGCCCACTGGGCAGCCAGTGCCTAGCAGACCCCCAAACCCTTGTCCCCTTCATTACTGTGCTTTTTGCAGAGGGCAGGGCTTTTCAGGAGCGAATGAGCTATTCCAGCAGAGGTGCTGGTTCTGCCTGTCATTCTTGATGAATTCACCTTGGTCTGGATTGCGGACAGCCTGCCAGTCAAAGGAACATCACTCAAATAGGGAGAATTTCAATGAGGCTGAAAAAGAGCTGTTTTTAAGGACAGTTATGGCCTAAGGACAAAAATGGCAGTGAAGGTACTTAGACTAAAACAATACCCGTAGCAAAGAGAAAATGGACATGGCACTAGCTGGTGTTTGTAAGGAAAGGGGGGCCTGCCCGCACAGATGTCCCCAAGCTTGGGTAGGGGCTGTGGGTTTTAAGGTAAACCTAGGTTTCCCCAGGCAGACTCCCTTTGACTTCGCTAGTGATGTCACACAAAAGCGGAAGTTACTGTAAATTCTTTATCCTTCATATTACGAGACTCTGTGCCCTCCCAATGCCTGGGTGTAATGAAAGAGGGGAAGGAGGAACACAGGAGAAAAGGCAGGTGAACATTCCTCTGGGTTTAAGACCGCCTTTGGTGCCAGTTGATGTCTGTTAACAGTTTGTAAATCAAGTGGAGAAATAAAAGAATTGCCCGTCTCATAAATCTGAAGGTTACAAATAAAACAAAGCAGGGAAAAATACTTGTCCAAAAATATATAAGTAAATGAAATAAGCCCACAATATTGAGGGGAAATCACAGTTTTTGAGTAGCAAGTATTTTGATAGGGAAGTTGTATTTCAAAGTTCTGAAAAGTGGTGACGTCTCTGTACTATGTTCTGAATTTATCTCAACATGGATGAAACCGTATGAAGTAAGTTCCTTCAAAACAAAAATTGCCATTGACATTTTATCTTCTATGCATTTAATAGGTTTCTAAGAAACATATGTACATGTGTGTAAACAAGGATGCTAGTGGGGAAGTGGGTTTAGAAGACGGCAGGAAGTAGCAGGGGGTGTGGAGAGCGCGGTTCTGTCCTGGAAGGGGGGCAGCACAATTAGGTGCCAGCCAAGGCCTCATCAAAACAGACCTCAACCGCAAACCCGGGACGGTAAACGCTCCATGTTTTGGGTTTATGGGGATTATCCAATTCAGTTCTTGAAAGATAAAGCCTAGAATAGAAAAAAATCATTACAGCTTACTTTAGGGCTATGCAGTGGTGCACTGCTGGCCGTGCGTGGGCTCAGCTCTGTTTCTGCATCTCTGCCGTCCCACTTTCTCTAGCAACAAGCGAAATAATGTTTAGTAACAGACACATCAGTAGTGACATGTCACGCGATTCTTTTAACATTGCCTTTTGTGGAGTTATGGACATCTGGGTCTTGATAAAACAAATTTCTGTATGTGACAGAAATCAGCCAGAGAGATGAGATGTGGATGAAGCCCAGTAAAAAAAAAATACTGTCTTTTAAAATGAGAAGTTGACATTTTTGGTTAGTTGACAAGTCTTGTAACTAATAAAAACTAATAAAAAAGTATATGGAAATTTAAATATTACATCTTTAGGAACATGTAAGAGTGGAGAGAAAAATGATCTTTTTGCCCCTGCAATATGAACATGGAGTCCAGGGGAACAAGTGTGTCCTGTAACTAAAGAACCACCTCTCAAGAGTAGTACCGAATGAAGTTCCACACTGACCTCTATTTGACAGACTTTTGCTCATTTTATGAGTCAAAGTTTGTATACATCCAGGGGGAAAAGTCAGTAAAAATTTTCCATCAAATCCAAAGTTCACTCTGTCAAGAGCCCCCGGATCAGTGTGTGTTCGGTGCAGGTGTGTAGGCCGGGTGCTGGCTTGGCTGTGGCCGTGCTGGACTTGTGTGGTCAGATGTGGTTCACATTGGAAGAAAAGGCCAGGGTTGTATGTGATGAGACCAATCGATTCACGGCACATACAATTACTACTTCAAAACTCAACCTGCGTGATAATTTTTGAGTATTTGTCCTTTTATGTTGCATGGTACGGTGATACCAGTGATCTCAATTTCAGCTGAAGAACAAATGCTTCTTGAGTGGAAAAACCTCTAGACTCAAGAATGAGTTTCCAGATATGTTGGAAGGTTCTTTGTAAGAATAATCTTCAAATCAATAATCACTTTTAAAAAAGGTTGCCGAATTCAGTGACTAGAAAATCATTTTTAAATGGGAGATGACTAAACCAATGAGTTTTTAAGGGTGTCTTCACTGGTATATATTGTGCCTCAGAGCTTAAGCCCTCGGTGTAAGTGTGCCACCGGGTCTAAAGCAGTTGAAGACCCCCCCCGCCCCTCCCTTTGGGGTGGGATTTGGTGGTGGTCAGTCATCAATGAAGCAATACGTGCTGATGACCTGCCGTGCGCAAGGGACTGGCAGCCCCACTGAACTCCCATGGGAGGGCGCTAGTGGTGCGCTCGAGGTCTGCCTGTAATGCGCTGTGACATGCTGCGGTCCTTGGCGTGGGCCTGAGGAAAGTGCAGCTGGGGTCTCAAGAACAGCTATATTTTTGAACCAGCCAGGTGAAGGCGGGTGAGGTAAAGAACAGTGGTGAGCCGAGGGCTTTCCGGTTTCTGCAAACGGAGTTCATGGTGGTCAGCACAAGACTTGCCATTACACCTTACACAGACATGGAAGATTAAGCTGTTTCTCCTGGATTATATCGTCACCATACCTGTTACTTTGTATGAAAGATGTATGGAACCAGAAGAAAAATGGGCAGTTGTCATAGTATTTAGGAAGATCCTAAAAAAGACATATTGAAAAAACAGGTTATTTTTCATAGTAAAATGGATACCAAGAACTAATCCCGAAGGGATTCAAGTTCCTATATTTCTGTATTTATCAAACAACTGTGTCCACTAAGCAGGCTTCACCCAACCCAGGGAGGGGCTTGAAGACATTGCTGTTCCTTTTTCTTGCTGTTTCTATAAAAATTTTCAAAGAAATGCATTTTTTCTAAGATATTTATAAATCAGACACTTCTAATCTGGTTTAGACAGTGCTAAACAATCTGCTACTTCCGCTGAAGTGTGTCATCCATCGCTCCAAGGAACAGCTGCATTGGATAACTAGCCATCATTAAGGATGAAAGAAACTAAAATTTTGGAAAGTGCTTCCATCTTGCGGCCCTTGAAAACCACAAGGGACAGATATTACCGACATCCCCGAGGGCAGCGCCCCTGATGCCAGCGCTTCCGAGGTGGGGCAGGGGCGTGGGGTGAGGATCATGATTCGTTTTTCCTGACTGATGAAAAATGCAGAGGTGAAAATACGAAGAACAGGAGGGGCCCCATCTTAAGGCTAAGATTCCATTTTTAAAAAACCCAGGGAGTTAGGAGGTAAGATTCCTAACATTCTATGGTCATCAGCCAGTAACCAACCCTATCCTCAGGCGGGGCAGGCAGTCCTGAATGATATGTCCCCCTGCTTGAGGATCACCGCTGTCTTGGAGAAGAACAGGACCAAGAAATTCCATGTGTTGTTCATCTTACAGAATATCTAGAGGACTGACTGTGTGTGGTGACATGTGTCCCCTGAGAGAGACATCTTGAGACCACATGCTCCCTCGGCCCTTTACCAGATTCTTGAAATCCTTAAAATCCCGAATCCTAGGCCTTTAAGCACAGCACCTGTCCTCTGAGGCCGCCTGCACTTCCTTTTCTTTGCGTGTGAGCTTTGTAAATAAAACCTTGCTGCTCAGCTTATTGTAGTTTGTCTTTGTGCTCTTCAAAACTTGTCCAGAAGTTAGTAAGAGCCCCCGGCCCCCCGTGGCAAGCATCTTTGCTATTTTGCTATTTCATTCTATTTTCTAGACTTAAGCTAGTCTCTCTCTCTCTCTCTCTCTCTCTCTCTCTCTCTCTCTCTCTCTCTCTCTCCGTCCTACCCCAGACAAGCAGGGAAGGGCTACTGAGCGCTCTGAGTGGGCCTGCAAGGTCCCGTCGCCTGGGAGACCCGGACAGGACTGTGGCTGTACGGTCACGCTCTTTAGCAGCCTGCCTGAGAATCTCCTTTGTTTCTGGGAAGTTCTCAGAACACAATCTCACTCCACCCAGTGCTCTGCGGCTCCCCCAAATCCTGGGGTGGTGGGGACTTAGTTCTCACGCCCTGCAGTCAAGCGGACACTGGACACCAGGTGACGCTGGCCTTAGGAATTGGGCAGGAGTTCAGTGAGCTGCTCCCCCCTGCCCTTCCCTGCTCGCTGCTGCCCGCACAGCTGCTGCCCTTCCCTGCTGCTCCCGCGCCAGTGAATTCCTTCCTTACCCACACTCGTCCGACCTGCTGGGGAATTCTTTCTCCATCAGAGTCAAGAACCCTGAACGGGCTGAGTGCAGGGAGATCTCCCCAGATGGGGTCGCTCCACAACACTTCTGCTTAGAGACCACTGACCGAGAGACGGTGCCTGCTGGCTGCATTATTCCCAGGTAACCAGCCATCCGGGACTGTCCCGGGCACTTGCTTCCGCACAGTCACAATCTCAGTGTTTAATGGATCCTCCCCTGACAGGGAGCAAGCAGGGTGTCAGGAGGGCCCAGGAACATGATCACTTGTTGGCAGTTCCGGCTGCTGACTTAATAGGACAATGAGCTGGAATGACTGAGGCTTAGAAATTTGTGACGAACAGAATAATACTCAGACATCCTCATTTTTCATGAAGTAAATATTGGATTTAAAATATTATTTGTAATGTACTATATCAATTCAGAGGAAAGTAAAATCTCCCTCGTTTTAAAGTATTTTATGAATTATGGGGAGCAATATGTTTTAAAGATACTGAACAAAAATATCACTACCATGCAGTACAACATTCCTTCGTTTTTTTAACATCGGGTTTTTGTATTTTTCTTTATTTGAAAATGACTACATACAAATTGTATAGAATTTAGGAAAAAATGAGAGATCTGCCTTGTTTTTCTCCCCCTCCTGGGCTAGGGGTTGACATCTATCATCTCCCTTGGAAGTTGTAGCCTAGGGAATCCCAAACCAGAATCACTCAAAAACCAGAGGAGAATAAGGACAGAGGTTGTTTCTGGATTACTCACCGGACAGAAAAACTGCATTTTCACATCATCATACAGAGGTGGACAGTTGACCAGGTTAAATATCGCTCTGTCTGCTTCAGCATCGTGAGTCACCTGCGGATGAGCACAAGGATCCCAGAACTGTCAACCTAGCTGACGATGAAATAGTGACAGGGAGATCCATGTCATTCAAACCTCCTGGCTTTATGTTGGGAAAATACCGAAAAGCTCTATTTTGAAGTCAGCATTCACACTCAGAATGCAAGGCACGATTGGTCAGGTTTTATCAGCAATGTTTTTGATGGAATCACAGGCCTTGTCCATAGACTGCTGATAGAGTGACCAAAGATTGGTCATTTCTGGAATGGGCAACTTTGGAGCTAAGGTGAGTTTCTGTTACTGACTGGCCCTTGTAGACTAATGGCGCCCACATGAGAAAGGTCTATGCTCAGCCCTGTAGGAAATACAGAAGAAGGTGCAGACGCACCGATGCTCCCGGGGGTCACCCACGAGGAATGGAGCATTGCCACCTGTCCAGCTGTTAGATGAAGACCGTGCGCTGTGTGCTCTGTGGGGTGTTAGTGGGCAGTAGAGAATGGGAAGGCTTCCTGGAGGCGACACGGAGTGAGTGGGGCACGGGAGGATCTGCTAAATGAAGTGACACACTGAAGGGAATGCGGCTCAGGCAGGGGCACTGGCGGGAAGATAGGGGCGATGGGGCGGGGGGCTGGGGCAGGAAGACCAGCGAAAACACAGGAGTGGCAATGAGTGCTGCGTTCGAGGATCAGTGGGGACCCAGTCCTCCTGGAATGGAGTCTGCAGGTCAAGGTCCTCATGGGAATCTGCTCAGGCATCATAGAGCCAGTCTAAGACCCAGGGAGACCAGAACGCAGCTGCTGAGGTGCACAGTGAGTGTTGCCTGTATGACAAAGTGGTCTAGTAAGTACTACATATGACATTTATTGGGTGATTTATGGCTCACAAAGCAACTTCAATAAATATTTCTAATTTAATTCTCACAACCCTTGAGATGTAATCTGTATTTTACAGATCAGAACATTGAGCCGAAGGTGCCAACTGGCTTTGACCTTGAGCACACAGTGTGTCTTCCGTCCCACCTCCAGCTTTTCACAGTAAGAGTGGTGTTTTGGGGTGCGTACTGCAGGGCCCCACCACATTGTGTAAGGGAAATAAGAGGTAAGGGAACCCCTGTAGGAACGCAGGCCTGAGCCAGTGAGGTCCTGACCGGAAACAGAAAGGGACAGGGAGAGAGATGCCCAGGCATGACCCACGGGAACGGGTGACGCACTGGATCTCGGGGCCAAAGCCAAGTGAAAACCAAAGACAACACCGGGTCTGGGGCCTGAGGGAGGGGAGCAGGGCAAAGGCTGGGCTGCTGAGTCGGGACTGATGGCCGCGTCCGACCCGCAGGGGCAAGGCCTGTCCGCGCCGTGGCTCCTGCGCCTACCACACCGCGGGCGCCCACAAATACGTGCGAGTAAGTGAGAGGAGAGCAAGTAGTTTAAAGCAGTGGGACAGACAAGTGGAACCAAGAAGAGGGGTGTGCGGGGGACAGAAACACAAAGCCAAGGACCAGGCCTGGGCGAGTGTATTCAGCGGGGGCCAAAAAGACGAACTGGAAAAAGAATGGCAACGGGAGAGGCAGACAAAAGCCTGAGAGAATTTCGAAAGTTTGTATTCTTAGACCCATGAAAGCAGCTTTTTTGACGATGGAAAAGGTCTGCAGTCGTCGGCATTTCTTCAGCACTGACTACCAGGTCCCATGGCTTTGGGCGAAGAGATTCCTGCCCAGCCTGCACCGTCTCGCACCGTCCCTCACAGTGCGGCCCCATGGGGTGTCTGAGCTGGGATCCCCTGGGACGTCACTAAGTCTAGAGATTCCTGGGCCTAATTCCAGATGCCTGAATCACACTTTTGGGGTGCAACCTAGGAATCTGCATTTCTCCTGGGTGATTTTCATGCAGACTGAAATTTCAGGTTCAGTGCCATATAATACAATGACCAAGAAGAAGAGAATATGGCTAAACATGACCAGATACATGCATGAATTTAGACTCTGACAGAGTCCTGGGAATGTGGTTGGCATTTGTGGAAAAACGGACGGCAAAGCAACACTGAACTAAAAACATATTCTGGAAAATGCCATGAAAAACAACCTTGAACGAGGAGTTTAATTTAGCTCTGACTTGCCTCTGAACCCAGGGCCACCAAACTGAATGGTGATCAAGAGGCCACATGGCGTCTCTTTGTGGTGAACAATGGTTTGGGGAGGTCAACATGCTGATTCAACACTGAGATTTAAAACAAACACCAGAATTTGAAGTTCGCATGCTTTCTCTTACCGTACAGTTTTTGGAAGCAGAACAGGAAAAGATGGTCTTTTGCTGCATTGTTATTTGTATTTTTATATCATTTCCATTGCCTTTTCCAACACCTGAGTGAAATGAAAAAGTTAGGCTGGTTCGATCAAAATGTCTCACCGATTAACATTATGGATCAATAAGAGAAAACATTCTCCCCACTAACAATGCATCAGTATCGAATCATTTGAGTGTTGTGTGGAATCCTCTCTTTGGAACACAAAGCTCCAAGCCCAATTCTGTCTGTCAAGCAGAATTTGTGAGTCTGAAGAAAAAAAAAGATGTATAGCTCAGCATCTAAGACAGAATTTTTCTAGAAAAGAATTAGGGAAAGTGACTCGCAACTTTTCTTGCGGATGTGTTGCTTTCTTCAGACTCCTAATCATGACGCTTGTTAACAGTGAACGGCCTACATCCCTCCACCCCTGCGTAAGGCCGGTGCCTAGCATGGTCTCTACGGAAACACAGACTAGCTATCGCTGAACATTCTTGTGCTGTTCAGTGTAGATCTGCAAATAGTTTTTTGCCCTCTTTTCAATTCAAATGACTATTTCCCTTAGCATTTCCTCAAAGGGCTGGTTTCTCGAGCCTTCAAGTAATTTTCATTATTTTCCTTTCAACTTTGCATATTTCTCTTAAATGTATGCACAGATCTAACGGTACAGAGCCAAAGCAAATATTCTAAGTCATATATTAATCATTCTTGACTGTTCATTTCATATTATGGTTTTGTTCTCGTTGAATTTTGCTTTCACTAAAACCATATCATTACTCTGTCTTTTGGAAGCAGCTCCCCTCAGCCCCAGTCCATTTGCAGAAATTCCACTGATGTGGGCCTTCAAATACAAGTCAACTAAGCCAGATACTTACAATATGGCAAGAAAGGCACTGGTGTATAAGCTGAAATTAATTCTCACACATTACACATTTAAAGAAGTGATTTAAGTGTATTGCATTACTTAAAAATAAAGGGTAAAAAGACATGAAGTGAAAAGTTCTCCAGCCCCAAACAGGTAACCACTATTATTAGTTTCTCGTTTTTCATACACTTATAATCAAATATGGGGGGATATACACATAATTTGAAAAAGCATTTTATATTTTAGTTAACAATTGTAATTTTTTTTTACTGTATAGTTTTTTATATTTATTTTAAGGGACTCTTATTTCTGAATAATTGGACAAAATGTTTTTACAAAATATGCCTACATCTTATTTTGTGTGACTCCTCAGGAGGCTGAGAGCAGTACGCTGTCCGAGTGGGTACCAACGCGGCACCACGCGACCCACAAGAACCGGTACTGGGCACCTTCCCCTGGCCCGGTCCGGCTGTTGCTTTAGGAATCTGGCAGGAAAGTGAGGCTCGAGCCATGGGTGCCAGTGCGCCCCTGCATTTGCGCCCCCAGGGGTGAGCCGGGCAGGTGCATGGTGCAGAGACAGGGACATGGGGATCCAGGCCAGCCCCCCCACCCCAGCCTGCCCTTTCTTTCTTGCTCAAAGCCCAGAGATGATGATCTGATCCATTTTCCTGCCTCCCCGGGCAGTGCTGGATCCCAGGCTCTTTCCTCACATTCCCGAAGCAGGCAAACAGCTCTTCCCATGTTTGTAAGGATTTTTAGTCCTAACAGCAACTGATAACAGCTGGGGGCTTGAAAGTCACCCCCACAGGGCCCAGTCCCTCGCACTGCCGGCTGAGGGCAGATTGAGGCCAGGAAGACCGAGCAGCTGCCCCAGGAAGCTCTCCTTGCCCCCACCTCTGGGTGCCCCCAACACTGTGGTCGGTCATCACGGACTCTTCTTGCCCTGTGCCCACTAGCCAGGATTCCTGAAGGGGAGGGAAACCCACGCACGGGGCCCGGGCCGGAGGGGACGATCAGCAGTCACTTCTAACAAGAATCCGTGGCGACGAAATTCACTTGCTGTTTGGGTATTTGAGGTGTGTTGATGGAGTCACTTAGGGTGAGGGGCCTAGAGGTGGGCGAGGGAAGGGAAGATAAGAAAAAGGAGCAGAGGAGAAAAGGTGCGGGGATGCCTCTGCCAGATGAGCCCTGAAGTGGGTGCGGGCATGAGAAAGAAGCCGTCCCGGGCTCACCCGCCCTTCCGCTCTCTCCCTCCGAGGCTCCACTCTGCAAAGCCCACCCTGGGCTGAGGCCGGGGCAGTGATGAGGACGGGAGCAAGGGGAGGGGACGGGGTCCCCTGGCTCGGCGATGGGCTGGTCCCACAGCCAGAGCCACGGCCCCTGGGCCGCGAGGGCCCGAGGACACGCGCAGACGCCAGAGCCCCGGGGGGACATAAAGCACTTACCACGAATCGAATAAATAATGATCTCTTTGATCGTGAGCACTTTTACTGGAGGGAGAGTGCAGTTGTAGATATTTTTCACATCCGCAAAGTATCCGACATATCTGCTCTGCAAACAGAAGCCTCGATTTAAGTGGACATGAAGAGTGCGAGCGAGTGTCCTGATTTTTTTTACACAGACCTTGTTAAGGGGAGAATCAATCAAGGAGACATGGGTCACCATTATACACCAGGAACGGCAGCGGATGTCGCCACACGACTGAACATCTACCTTAGAGAAAATGCGGACCGCGCGCTGCGGGCAAGTAACTGAATGGAGCAGGTGGCGCTCCGGGCAGCTCCCGAGTAGGGGTGACCCACCGGGGCGGCACAACGGCTTGGACAGGCCGCGGCGGGGCTGAAGGAGGGTCTGGGCTCCAGGGCAGGGCACCCGCCCGGGCCGTGGACCCTCGGCGAAGGCCTGCAGAGGTGGGGGCCTCCCCTCCCCGCCCGGCACCAGGTCCTCTTCACCCCACTCTCCCCCTAATAAAGGGAGCCCCGGAGCTCTCTTCCCCCATCCTTCCTCCATGGCAAGCTGCCCCCAGGAAGGTGACGAGTTGTGGTACTGAATCGGCTGGACCTCAAAGCGCATGGACTCCTCCCCACCCCCTGGGAAGCTAGGCTTTCCTTTGGAAGGGGCCGGTCAAGAGAAAGGCTTGCGCAAGTTCCTAGCTCCAGGGGTGGGTGAGATGTGGTCCCGAGAGTGGCCCGTGAGGCAGGGTCAGAATGTGACGGTGTCTGGGAATTGGCACCCCACGGGGAGGGCACTGCCCTGAGGCCTCGCCAGCGCAGCTCCCAGACCTGAGCCGAGCCCTGGTCCTGCTATGCCAGGGAGTCGGAGGGCACTCCACTGGACCGGTGGTGCCAGCTCTGGACTCCAGGTAGAGAGACTGAGCCCAGCTGCAGAAGCGGGGAAGGGCAGGCGTGCAGGGTGAGCCCTCGAAGGGGTTACATCTAGCTGCCTCGTCTGCGAAAGGGGTAGAGAAGCCACCACTTCAAAGAGCTAGAGAATAAAGCAGCTTAGTCCCTAAAAGAAACCCAGATGGCTGTGAGAACTGAAAAAGCAAGGACTACCGAGGGCTCCTGGAAGAGGCGCCCACGTGAGCTCTGGCACGTGTATGAAGTGTTCAAAGGCAGGGAAACCGCAAGCAGTGCCAGTGTGTCTGAGTGTGGGAAGGTGAGTGCACGCAGGGGAGAAGCGGTGGGAAACACTGAATGGCAGGCCTTGAGTGCATGCTCGAACATTTGTATTTATTGCCATTGGCAGCTGGAGCCGTTAGGGTCTGACGGAGATGGATGGTGAGGAGCTGGCTTCAGGGAGTTCATGTCCCCGCTAGCCTATCTCTGTTTCTTTCCCTTTTTTGCTGGGTGTGTCAGAAAAGCACTAGTGGGGAAGGCGGAGTCCTTTTGCTCCAAACTAAATGTCTAGAGCCAGCAGTGACTGCGGGCTGCTCTCCAGGGTGAAGGTATGCATTCAGCAACCATCACTCCACTCAAAGTGGCTTCCGTTCACAGCCACATGCACATGCCCTCGGGGTCGCCCAGCAGCCCTCACTCAGCCTGAGGGGCAGCACAGAAGAGGCCACACAACAGGGAAGCTGTGCTTAAGGTGGACAATATCGTGCTTCAGAGTCTAACAGATCTGGATTGGAGTTCTCGGTTCAGAAAGCTGATTCCCCTGAACCTCAATTTTGAAGTCTGTAAAAGGGGAATCATAATGGTGTCCATCATAGAGTTATGGAGAATATTGAGTGAAATATTAAATATAAAACCTTTATCATGTTCAACACCCAAAAAGCAAATAACCCGATTAAAAAATGGGTGGAGGATATGAACAGACAGTTCTCCAAAGAAGAAATTCAGATGGCCAACAGGCACATGAAAAGATGCTCCATATCGCTAGTTATCAGGGAAATGCAAATTAAAACCACAATGAGATATCACCTCACACCAGTTAGGATGGCCAGCATTGAAAAG